GGTGAAGTTGGGATTTTTTTTTTTTAAGTTATGTGCTCATCATCTTTTCTGTCTCTTACAGGCTGCCAGGAGAAGCGGACTGGCCATCAGATATTGTTTGTGGAAATTTGAAAATAAAGTTTGTCAAATTGACTTTTGTCTCTTCATTGTGCACATTTACACACAAAATAGTCAAGTTAGTTTTTAATGTTAGCACTGACTTCTCACATTGAACGGTGAAATATTTGTAGTTTGAAAAGTCCGACCTAAATGGATAATGGTTGTGGATAACGAAGCATATGAATACGTTTGAACGTCGCGTAGTGGTCATTTTCGATTACAGGCCAACGTCTCAGCGACGTCTTGGCAATGAGCAAACGTCCTCCCTGCTATGTGTTAACGATCTAAACTTGATACATCGGGCCAACATCGGCCAGATGTGCTATCTGGGGTGAGTGCTGATATAGAGTATAACATCACTGGGACATGTAACAGCAAAATCACTCCGCTCACAGGTGTTATAAATATAAATACAACCGTTAATTAACCAGCTGTCACACTCGTTACACTGACGCAAACTGACACTAGCGTTACACCAAGAAGATGGATATTTTCCCTAAATAACATTTGAATTAAATTATGAGTGGTCGTCAGGAGAGAACGATGAAAAGGAAAGCCAGGACTCTTAAGTGCAGACCTCCAGGTGTGTTTGAATCCAGCCGTGCCAACATCCAGGTTTGCCAACGTTTCATCAGCCAAACTGGACGAAGTTACACAGTTGCAGATCAATGTAAATACAAAGTAGCTTGTGAGTTCCTGGCGTGTGTGCTGCGTTGCCTGGCAACAGACTGGGGGAACTGTTTTTTTTTTTCGCGGAGCTACATAACATACTTACATAATTTATTTCATCACCTTGTGGTAACATTTCCTTTCTTGGCATTGCTGTTGAACTGTTGTATAAAAGCAATATCACACTCAAGGTCGTGACGTTGTACTGTATATCGTCACATGGCTGTAATTGTCTTCAACACTCGGCCTGCGGCTTCGTGCCACAGTGCCCATGACCGAATCGCAGATATACAGTATCACTCCCTCTTGTGAGATAATGCTTAATTACATATACAGTACAGGCCAAAAGTTTGGACACACCTTCTCATTCAATGCGTTTTCTTTATTTTCATGACTATTTACATTGTAGATTCTCACTGAAGGCATCAAAACTATGAATGAACACATGTGGAGTTATGTACTTAACAAAAAAAGGTGAAATAACTGAAAACATGTTTTATATTCTAGTTTCTTCAAAATAGCCACCCTTTGCTCTGATTACTGCTTTGCACACTCTTGGCATTCTCTCGATGAGCTTCAAGAGGTAGTCACCTGAAATGGTTTTCCAACAGTCTTGAAGGAGTTCCCAGAGGTGTTTAGCACTTGTTGGCCCCTTTGCCTTCACTCTGCGGTCCAGCTCACCCCAAACCATCTCGATTGGGTTCAGGTCCGGTGACTGTGGAGGCCAGGTCATCTGCCGCAGCACTCCATCACTCTCCTTCTTGGTCAAATAGCCCTTACACAGCCTGGAGGTGTGTTTGGGGTCATTGTCCTGTTGAAAAATAAATGATCGTCCAACTAAACGCAAACCGGATGGGATGGCATGTCGCTGCAGGATGCTGTGGTAGCCATGCTGGTTCAGTGTGCCTTCAATTTTGAATAAACCCCCAACAGTGTCACCAGCAAAACACCCCCACACCATCACACCTCCTCCTCCATGCTTCACAGTGGGAACCAGGCATGTGGAATCCATCCGTTCACCTTTTCTGCGTCTCACAAAGACACGGCGGTTGGAACCAAAGATCTCAAATTTGGACTCATCAGACCAAAGCACAGATTTCCACTGGTCTAATGTCCATTCCTTGTGTTTCTTGGCCCAAACAAATCTCTTCTGCTTGTTGCCTCTCCTTAGCAGTGGTTTCCTAGCAGCTATTTGACCATGAAGGCCTGATTCGCGCAGTCTCCTCTTAACAGTTGTTCTAGAGATGGGTCTGCTGCTAGAACTCTGTGTGGCATTCATCTGGTCTCTGATCTGAGCTGCTGTTAACTTGCCATTTCTGAGGCTGGTGACTCGGATGAACTTATCCTCAGAAGCAGAGGTGACTCTTGGTCTTCCTTTCCTGGGTCGGTCCTCATGTGTGCCAGTTTTGTTGTAGCGCTTGATGGTTTTTGCGACTCCACTTGGAGACACATTTAAAGTTTTTGCAATTTTCCGGACTGACTGACCTTCATTTCTTAAAGTAATGATGGCCACTGGTTTTTCTTTAGTTAGCTGATTGGTTCTTGCCATAATATGAATTTTAACAGTTGTCCAATAGGGCTGTCGGCTGTGTATTAACCTGACTTCTGCACAACACAACTGATGGTCCCAACCCCATTGATAAAGCAAGAAATTCCACTAATTAACCCTGATAAGGCACACCTGTGAAGTGGAAACCATTTCAGGTGACTACCTCTTGAAGCTCATCGAGAGAATGCCAAGAGTGTGCAAAGCAGTAATCAGAGCAAAGGGTGGCTATTTTGAAGAAACTAGAATATAAAACATGTTTTCAGTTATTTCACCTTTTTTTGTTAAGTACATAACTCCACATGTGTTCATTCATAGTTTTGATGCCTTCAGTGAGAATCTACAATGTAAATAGTCATGAAAATAAAGAAAACGCATTGAATGAGAAGGTGTGTCCAAACTTTTGGCCTGTACTGTATATATATATATATATATATATATATATATGTATATATATACATATATGTGTGTGTGTGTGTGTGTGTGTGTGTGTGTGTGTAAGGGATAATAGTGAGCCGGTGACTGTTGAAAATAACTCCCAACAGGGGAAGAGGGTGGGAGTGGATGAACCCGGTTAAAGAGTACCCGCCCACAAGGAGGCAGGGATCATTTCATTGGTCAACAGTAAATCTGGCATTTTATTGGTTGTCGGATTTTGACAGGGTTGTTACACAAAAAAAATCCAAGCGCAGGGCAGAAATCTGAGAGCAGAAATTCCACAAGCGCACAGAAACAGTTTGAGCATGAGGAGAAAAGCCGAAGCTCGAGCAGGAAATCTGTGCGAGCAAATGGTAACTGAGTGTGTGCAACATGGTATCTGAGTGCAAGCACACAGTTTGAGCAGAAACAGAGTAGATCCAAGTGCAAGCAGAGGCTATCTGAGTGCAAGGGCAGGGTTTGTGAACGTGAAATCAATCAATAATGCTCTCAAACTGATAGACCACTCTCTTGAATAAAGATAGGGATAAAGCTCCATAGAAAGCACATCAGAAACAAATTCTGCAATCTCACCTTAATCTCACCTTTAAAAAAAGCTGGTTCTATCATTTCACAAAGCCCCCTTGTTAGAAATCTCGGTATTTTATTCGATCCTAATATCTCCTTTGAAGACCATATTAATAATATAACAAAAACAGCATATTTTCACCTACGTAATATTGTCAAGATTCGTCCCATTGTCTCCATGACTGATGCAGAAACACTTGCTCACGCTTTTGTCTCATCCCGATTAGATTATTGCAATACACTTTTCTCTGGCTTACCAAATTCAACCATTAGGAAACTACAACTCGTTCAGAATACTGCTGCCAGGATATTAACCAGAACCAGAAAATTTGACCATATCACCCCTGTTCTCATTTCATTACACTGGCTCCCTGTACACACTAGATCGGACTGCAAGATTCTGCTTTTAACTTATAAAATATTACACAGACTTGCACCATCCTACTTATCATCTCTACTTACTCCACATTTATCAATCAGGCCTCCACGATCCCATAATGTCGGTCTCCTGTCCATCCCCAAAATTAATAAATCATCAGCAGGTGGTAGAGCCTTCTCATACCGAGCTCCTCTCCTTCCCATTCAAATCCGTGAAGCCAACACAGTCGATTCCTTCAAAAGTAAACTCAAAACACACCTTTTTGCATCTGCCTTTAACATCACATAGTCTCTGCGCTTACATACTACATCATGGTTATCTACTACTACTCAGTCATTGTGCGCATCAGTTTATGTTTAGTTTTTTATATATACAAGTGCCAATGTTATTTTTGTTTTTCTGTTTTTTGCTTTGTTTTCATTTTGTTTGTTTATTTTGTTCTACATAGTCATTTCACTTGTTTTTATATATTTTATTTGTTGTGTTATTTGTAATTTGCTTATGTGTTTTCATGTACAGCCCATTGAGGCATTTTTTGTGATTTTGGGCTATAATAAATTTTTTGACTTGATAACCAGATGGCATTATTCTATGCCAAGATGACGTTGGCACGAGATGTTTGGAAGATGCTGGATTTTGATTACTTAACACAACTTTAAACCAACAAAACATCAGTGTCATCTGTTGTCAGTGTTCTACGTCAAATTGATGTTGGCATTTGTCCTGATATTGAAATTTGGTCACCTGACTTCACAATCTAGATTCAAATCAAATTCCAATGTTTAACGCAGTCAGTGGCCAGCTGGGAAGATTAATTTATCAGCTGAAGCAATAAGCATAATCCTGAATATGGTGGGTTTATAGGGTGACTGTTTGCATTTGATTTGCACATTTATAAATGAATATAATCTCTTCTCTGCTGAGGTTTGTTTTTCTTTTTGTTTGCATTTAAACAATTCTCCTATTTAAATATTAAAGTATATGAGATTGGTGGTTATTAAAATGTTCTTAAGCATAATTTATTTTTAATTTGGTTAATAAGCCTTAATAAGAGAGCATCTCTATTTTCTCTTGTCTACCTACTGTAAAGTGTCTTTTTCTGTTATTGCCTTCACTTACTCTTGCTCAATAGAGAAAAATCAAATACTGAGAGGGAAAGAAAAGAGTGATAAATTCAAAAGCTCCAGGACCAAGCCAGTGTCATATATAAGTAGCCATGGAGATTCCAGGTTTGCATTTTTTATGTGGTTTTGGGCTGAGTCCCTGCTCACAAACGTTGAACTCAAAGGAGCAGTAGCCTACCTGTGGTGCGATTCTTGAAGGCCAGGTTCTCAAAGGGAGGGATGTCTGGGGTCTTGGAGATGATCTGTGTGTAGTCAGATATGGCTCTGGTAACAGGGTCACGGACAACCACAATCAGCTTGACATCCTGCGACATAGCATGGACTCGGGCTGGTGTTTCCACAGCAACAAAATAACGAGGTGTCTTTTCCATCACAATCTGGCCATCTAGGGCTTTGGGCATCATACTTCTGAAAGTACAGGGAATATATTTTTAACCACTGACAAAATGCCAGTAAAACAGCAGAAACTGGTACGTTCATTAGCAACATTTGTTTTTTTTTAACCAGATCATCAGATTGCACTTGCAGTATAAGATAAGATAAGATAAGATAAGATACACCTTTATTGATCCCACAATTGAGAAATTCCAGTGTTACAGCAGTAAAGGGGAAAGAGTCAGATTATAGATTTCAAAATCTAAACTTAAACTTAAATTTAAACTTAAAACTTAAAAAACTAGGCATGCAAAATAAAGTACAATAATACAAGAAACAGTGATAAATAACAATAATAATAATAATAATAATTATGAGAAGTGGATAAAAATGAGCAGTGAATAAAAATGAGCAGTGGATTAAAGAGTGTGTCCATGGTGTCCATAAAGTGTCCATGGTGCAGTTTACTGTGAGCAGTGCTGGTTATGTAGCCTGACAGCAGCAGGCAGGAAGGACCTGCAATAGCATTCCTTCACACACTTTGGGTGAATCAATCTATCGCTGTAGGAGCTCTCCAGAGCTTTTATCTCTTCCTGCAGGGGGGATGGGAGTCATTAATCCTCAGAGATGACAGCTTGGCTGTCATCCTCCTTTCTCCCACCACCTGCACAGAGTCCAAAGAGCATCCCACAACAGAGCTGGCCTTCTTGATCAGCTTGTCCAGTCTCTTCCTATGTGCAGCCGAGACGCTGCTGCCCCAGCAGACCACTCCGTAAAAGATGGCTGATGCCGCCACAGTGTCAAAGAAGGTCTGTATGTAGGTAGATATGATATGCAAGCAGCATTAAATAGTGATGAAATAAGCCAGTTGTAAGGCAGACAGCTAACAGATTAGATTTCTAAATCGCTGAAATCAATTTAACATATTTCAATTTATGTGTTAGTGTCTTCAGCTCTACAGCCTGGTCCTTTTCTCAAAAACATCACGCAGAACCACTGAACTTTATTTCAGGACCAGGAACTTCATTTTATTTGGGATTTAGTAAAGATTCTAAAATTAAGAGAACAAAATGAAGCTGATAATACAGTTTTTTCAATAATTCGCCATATTTGCCAACACAGTATAGCAGAATTGATTTTTAAAGTAAAGTTAAACATTTTGTGAAACAAAGTTTCCCAAACTTTGTTTCACCCTAACCCTAACCAATTCCACTCCTCTTGCCTAAATCTAACTAATCATATCTTGGGATTCACAAAGTAGCCAATGGAAAACAGGCAATGCAATGCGCTCAGCGATCAGAAACATTTTACCAATTAATTAAAGAACCACATAAAAAGAACCAGTACGAAGACACAAATACTTAAGGTGCACTAGAATGCATTTGCAAAATCGTGGATTAGTGACAAAGGTTTTTACAATATCATCACATTCAGGCACACAGAAGTTGCTAATGCATTTTAGTTTACACCTGTTGAAGTAACAATGGTAATTACAACAATTGTGGTTGGTTAGATTATCAAAAAAAAAAAAAATATGGCATTCACCTGCGCTTCATGACCTGCCGCTATTTTATGCATATCCACGTATGCACACACACACACACACACACACACACACTCTGCTAACCTCTGCTAACCTCTGCCTCCACACCAGAAGCCCAGCAGATGAAACTAATTTAGAGATAAATGGGGGCCCACAAGACTGGCTGGGCACTTGGGGACACCTGCCAACACACCTGCCACACACCTGAATGACTGACCAAACACACACAGCCTCAGCAGCATGGTCACACAAAGCTCTGAATTAGCATCTCAGCTTGTTCCAACACAGCTTAAAAGCTCATACAGGTGTGTTTACAGGTCTTATCTTTTTAACTACATGTCATGTATACTTGTATACTTGTTTTCACTGACCATTTTCAAATGAATGTTGTATAGTTTTTAAAGGTAATTCCCATTAGTTTCCATGAAGTTTACTTGCAGATTTAAAAACAAACAAACATGAATTTAACTTTGACAAAAAAAAAAAATAGATTTGGTATTTACTGCGATGGATTAAGTAATACATATTAGTGTGCTTGGATTAGCAAGATATGGTTCAGCCAATGGTTTCCATTTATTTTGAGTTTTTTTATTTTAAGGTGATATGGTTGTTTAATATGACCATAAAAATACACACAAATCTGTAAAACACAACAGCATGGTTAGTGAAATTGTTACTGTGATGTCAAGTACCAAAATTGTAGTAAATGGGATAAAACAGACAACTCCTATTGGTCATTTAGGCTTTTGGCTGATATGGATTTATGAATGTCAGATTTCAATTCCCCAAACCTCCAAACAATTACAAAAACTCTCTGTTTTACCAGAATTTGTTTGTCAATCAGAACTTCTTAACATGTACAGATTAAAAATGAAAACCTTACACCTGCAAGTAGTCAACCAACATCCTAACACTCCCTGAAAAAAGTGTCAGAAATGGTTGTTCATTTCGATAATGTGGCAATTTGCCTTCTTTTGGCACAGGCAGAGCACTCTACTGGACTCCATAGGCAATACTCCACCAATCAAGAGCACGCATTCACCCACAAAGATTTGCACAAACATAGCCTGAATAGGTGCACACCCTATAGGGGCGGCTGTGGCTCAGAGGTAGAGCGGGTTGTCCACCAGTCAGAAGATCAGTGGTTCAGTCCCCAGCTCCTCCAGTCTGCATCCTCGAGCAAGATACTGAACCCCAAATTGCTCCTGATAATGCTTCCATTGGTGTGTGTGAATGAGTTAAAAACTGAGTAGCAGGTGGCACCTTGTATGGTACCCTTAGTCACCAGTGTATGAATCTGTGTGTGAATCAATCAATCAATCAATCAATCAAATTTAGAAAGCCCAATATCACAAATCACAATTTACCTCAGAGGGCTTTACAGCATATGACATCCCTCTGTCCTTAGGACCCTCGCAGTGGATAAGGAACCCCCCCCCCCCAAAAAAAAAATTTTTTTACCGGGGAAAAGAAATGGTAGAAACCTCAGGAAGAGCAATTGAAGAGGGATCCCTCTTCCAGGATAGACAGAGGTGCAATAGATGTCATACAGAACAGATCAACATGATAAATTAACAGTATATGACACAATGAGACAGAAAGAGAGACGGAGAGAGAGAGAGATGCAGGACAGACCGTAATGACAGTAGCTTACAACAACATTAATTAAAGCAATAGTATTAATTATGGATATTGTGGTACAATATGTTGAAAGCATATATTAATGTCTGATGCTATACATATGTGACAATAATCATATGTGTATAATAACGGTAGAAGTATGACTAATGATAACAGCAGCGGGAGGCATCAGGCAGGACCACAGCAGCAGCACAACCACACACGTCACACTATCCAGGCACCCCTGCAATATAAGTTAACCTGCGAGACAGTGGAGCATAAAGGCTCTGAAGCTGAGCTAGTGACATGCAGTACAGCCGAGTTAGCGAGATGCAGTAACAGGACATGAGTGTTTGTTGGGACAATGTTGTCCTCACAGAATTGCATTATAGACGACATACAATTCTGTGAAGACAACATTGAAGACAAGACATTAAAGCCTTCTTAATTCAATTCAATTTCAATTCAATTTTATTTATAAAGCCCAATATCACAAATCACAATTTGCCTCACAGGGCTTTACAGCATACGACATCCCTCTGTCCTTAAGACCCTCACAGCGGATAAGGAAAAACTCCCCAAAAAAACCCTTTAACGGGGAAAAAAAACGGTAGAAACCTCAGGAAGAGCAACTGAGGAGGGATCCCTCTTCCAGGACGGACAGACGTGCAATAGATGTCGTACAGAACAGATCAGCATAATAAATTAACAGTAATCCATATGACACAATGAGACAGAGAGAGAGAGAGAGAGAGAGAGAGAGAGAGAGAGAGAGAGAGAGATGCAGGTAATGACAGTAGCTTACAACAACATTATTGAAAGTAATAATATTATAGTTATAGTTCTGGCTACTGTGGTACAATATGTTGAAAGTATGTATTAATATCTGGCAGTATACATGTGTGACAATAGTCATATGTGTATAATAACAGTAGAAGTATGACTAATGACTAATGATGGCAGCAGCAGCAGGAGGCATCTGGCAGGACCACGGCAGCAGCACAACCACACACGTCACGCTGTCCAGGCACCGCTGCGATATGAGTTAATCTGAGAGACAGTGGAGCACAAAGGCTCCGGAGAAGAAGCCGAGTTAGTGACATCCAGAATGGCCGAGTTAGCAAGATGCAGTAATAGGATGAGAGTGAGAGAGAGAGAGAGAGAGAGAGAGAGAGAGAGAGAGAGGGAGAGAGAGGGAGCCCGGTGTATTATAGGGGGTCCTCCGGCAGACTAGGCCTAAGTCAGCCTAACTAGGGGCTGGTACAGGGCAAGCCTGAGCCAGCCCTAACTATAAGCTTTATCAAAGAGGAAAGTCTTAAGTCTAGTCTTAAATGTGGAGACGGTGTCTGCCTCCCGGACCGTAACAGGAAGATGATTCCACAGGAGAGGAGCCTGATAGCTGAAGGCTCTGGCTCCTGATCTACTTTTGGAGACTTTAGGGACCACGAGTAACCCTGCGTTCTCAGAGCGCAGTGTTCTGGTGGGATAATATGGCACTATGAGCTCTCTAAGATATGACGGAGCTTGACCATTTAGAGCTTTATAAGTTAACAGTAGGATTTTAAATTCAATTCTGGATTTTACAGGGAGCCAGTGCAGAGAAGCTAAAACAGGAGAAATATGATCTCGTTTCTTAGTTCCTGTTAGTACACGTGCTGCTGCATTCTGAATTAGCTGGAGAGTTTTTAAGGACTTACTAGAGCTACCTGATAATAGAGAGTTACAGTAATCCAGCCTTGAGGTAACAAAAGCGTGGACCAATTTTTCTGCATCTTTTCGGGTCAGGATAGGCCTAATTTTCGCAATATTACGCAGATGAAAAAATGCAGTCCGTGAGGTTTGCTTTAAATGAGAATTAAAAGACAAATCT